TACCCACCACTGCTTACGGTCATTGTATGGACTGCTAGTCAGTTTGCATTTGAGTTGTTTCCGTTCCTCATTGTGCTTGGAACCTGCAGGGATGTTTTTGCGTGCAACCATTACATCAGAAGAAGCTACTGATATCCACTGAATTTTCTTAACCACTCTCTGAGAGTCGGTTACGGCCTTCAACTTTGTTTTCACAGTGAGATGGAGATGGCACCAGGCTTATGCTGTATGACTAATCTAGCTCTGTTCCAATAACTGTCTAGCCAATTTCTCATCGAAAGCATCTCAAGTCTTCTCATTGTCCAGCTGCACTCACAACTGTCTTGTGACCATAGTTGTTCTACGTCCACTCAGGTGCAGATATGTGTACTCGAACCGATTCGCAATCGTTGTACAACCACGTGCTCCCGAAGAAGTAGCAATCTCCCACCGACCCTCTCCAGAGATATTTGTCTCCATCGGTGATTTGGGGTCGGTAGACAACATCTCTCTCTATGTCGGAAGTTCGAGCTGGCAAGAAACTTATGGTCGTTTGAGCACGGTTGAAGTAGGCAATATCCGTTATCTGTTAGTTCAGTCGAAATTCCGAAAGTGCCACGTAAGTATCCTTCTGTCTGATTAAAGGTACCCAACGTGCTTAAAGCAGAATTGGAAATTTCTCGTCGAAACATTAGGCATTGTGCCAGTTTTGGAGCATAAAAGTGAATTGTTTTGTCGATTAGCGGCATGTTGCATTTCATCATGTGACTTGGAAATGTAAGTGTAGCTGGAGTGAAGACTTAAATTTCAACAAATGAAATACATTTTTGGAAACAGACTCATTTTTCAAATTTCGAGTGTATACTATGTGAACCTGCACATAGTGAGGCTAATAGTTTCTGTACGTCGGTTGGGTGGCCCAGTCAGAACTGAAAATAACGATGGTTCATCTGTCTACTTTCTATCTCGACTCAAGTTTCTTCTGACTGCTATCCACCTCCTCCATCATTACCTTCTAATCTTCCTTCACGTCTCTTAATTAATGATGCTGCATCATCTTCAATTTCTCCTACCTCTGCAGCCTTCGACAACGATCTGAGTCCACAGAACAGTATCCCTGGTCTCCTTAAACCACGCTCCAAATTACATATTGGAGCCTTCAATGTCCGCACCCTCCGTCAAATTGGCCAACAGGCTTCGTTGGCAAAGACTCTAGCAACTCGGGCATGGATGTGTGCTGTGTTTGTGAGACACGCATACAGGACCCAAGTGTGGTTATTCACCTGACCTCTCCTGACCAATCTGGTGAATCTGCAAAATTCACCCTTCGAGTTTCTGGAGATTCGATAGCTAGCTCTCGTGGTCTTGCAGGTGTAGGTATAGCATTAAGCACCAGGGCAGAAAACTCACTACTAGACTGGATCCCAGTTGATAGTCGCCTCTGCGCTATGAGGCTGAACGGCACAGTGAGAACTAAAAGGAATAGTGAGACTCGCCGTTGTCTCTTTGTAATCTCTGCTTACGCACCCACTGACTGTAGTTCGGATGAAGTGAAGGACGAGTTCTACCATAAACTGTCTAACCTCCTCTCGAAAGCCAAACGTTCGGACGTAGTGGTTGTTGCAGGTGACCTCAACGCACAGGTGGGTAGACTGAGTGAGGCAGAAAGGCACTTAGGTGGCACTTTCGGAATCCCAGCTGAACGTACAGATAACGGTGATCGCCTATTACAACTATGCTCAGATAACCGCCTATTTTTAGCCAGCACAAATTTCAGACATAAAGAAAGGCACTGTCTGACCTGGCGTCCACCGAGCTCGACTCAGCGATGGACACAGATAGACCACATTGCTATTAGTCATCGCTGGAGAGGATCGGTGGAAGACTGCCGCTCCTTCTGGAGTACGTGTTTGGACAGCGATCATGCGTTGGTCCGAGCACGTATATGCCTGCGTCTCAATGGACGTAGAAAAAATTTGGCAACAAAACCACTACGAGTTCTGCTGGACAACGAAAACACCAAAGCCGTGTTCAGTGAGAAGTTGGCTAGGCAGTTATCGGAACAAAAGACTGTCACTCATCCAGAAGAAGCTTGGTGCCATCTTCAGTCTACTGTAAAAGCAGCACTGGAGACTGTAGCCGACTCCAAGATAATGGCTAAAAAGAGCCAGTGGATATCAGCAGCTTCTTCCAAACTAATGGATGCACGTGAATGCATCCCTGCAGGCTCTGAGTACAATGAAGAGCGAGCGCAACTTAAAAATAAACTGACGAAAAGTCTGCGCAACGATCGTGAACAGTGGTGGGCAGCAAAGGCTAAAGAGATGGAAAAGGCAGCGGCGATCGGTAACAGTAGACAGTTATTTAGACTTATTAAGGAGACTGGGGGGAAATGGTCAACAACGGTTAGTGAGGTTATAGCGGAGAAGGACGGATCGGCGATTCACTCGCAGGGAAGGCGACTGGGACGATGGGCAGAACACTTTGAGGAACAGTTTAACTGGCCTCCAGCCACCATTGCGCTGCCCGCTATCCAGTCGGACCCTGAATGGGACATAGAGACAGGTCCCCCAACACTAGAAGAAGTTGAGAAAGCGGTAGGTAGCCTGAAACGGGAAGGGCAGCAGGACCAGACGGACTACCTGCTGAGGTATACAAGAATGGTGGTAGAGTTCTCTTAGTCAGGCTAACGGAAGTGTTAGCCAGTATATGGGAATCAAATACGATCCCCTCCGACTGGTCTAAGTCACTCATCATCCCAGTCTTCAAGAAAGGCGAGAAGTCCTCTTGTGATAACCACAGAGGAATCAGCCTGACAAACATAGTGTCTAAGATCCTAAGTTCTATAATTCTCCGACGCCTGAGTGGAGCTCGGGAACAGCAAGCCCGAGAAAACCAGGCAGGCTTTAGACCTGGCCGTGGATGTATCGACCAAATATTCACACTGCGCCAGGTCCTGGAACATAGGCATGCTTACAGACGCCCGACAATAGCTGTATTTCTCGACCTGAAGGCGGCATTTGACTCCGTTGATCGAGAAGTCTTATGGCAGTGTCTGTCACTGAAAGGCGTGCCTAGTAAGTACATCACCTTATTGAAAGCTCTCTACTCGAACACTTGTGGGCATGTTAGAGCCTATGGTGAGTTGTCCAGGGAGCTATACTCATCAAGTGGTGTCCGTCAAGGATGCCCACTATCCCCATTCTTATTTAATTTTATCATAGATATTCTTATGGAGGTTTCCCTCTCGTCACCTAATTACAAAGACGTTGACCCGATCACAGGTGAATTTTCCTTAGATCTAGAATATGCAGATGACATAGTCCTGTTAGGTGAAGACGCTGACAAGATGCAGAGTCTTCTGAACACTTTGAGTGGGAATTTGAGAATGTTTGGGATGCGATTTTCACCACCCAAATGCAAATTTTTGCTCCAGGACTGGTCTTCAGCGGTACCGCGGTTAACAATAGAGAGTGAAGTGGTTGAGTGTGTTGACCACTTCACTTACCTGGGAAGTAGGATCAACCCGGTGGGTTAGTTGCCGATGAGATTTCTGCACGGATACAAAAGGCTCGATTGGCTTTTGCCAATTTGCGCCACCTATGGCGCCGCCGTGATATTCGTTTGTCTATTAAGGGTCGCGTGTACTGCACAGCAGTCCGCTCTGTTCTACTGTATGGCTGTGAAACATGGCCATTGAAAGTGGAAGACATGAGAAGGTTCAGGTGTTTGACCACCGTTGCCTTCGTAGTATAGGACGTATTCCGTGGTGTCACCATGTGAGTAATGCAGAAGTTAGGTGTAGAGTTTTAGGGAGAAGAGGTAAGTCAGTCGACGAGGTTGTGAACCTTCATCGACTGAGATGGTTGGGACACGTACTACGTATGCCTAGTCACCGATTGCCTCGTCACACAATGTTGGCTGAGGTGGGTTCAGGCTGGAAAAAGGCCCGAGGTGGCCAGACTAAAACATGGCACCAATGTATGAAGTCTCTGACTGTTGGTTTAAGCCATGTAGGACGATGCAGACTAGGTGGTTGGGGTCCACGGGACAAGAGGAACCAGTGGTTGGAGACCCTAGGTGATATGGCTCAGAACCGAAGTCAGTGGCGCAGATGTATACACACATTATCCTCATCTTAACAACGCTATACCGAATCTCACTATTTTGTCACTCCTCTTTCCTTTCTTCTCGTACTTTATATTTCTTTTGACTGCATTCACTTATCTTCATCTCACTACCTTTCTACTTGATGTGCTGATATGAGGTGTGGCAACTCGGACCGTTACGCAGTAATGCCTGGTCCTATGTTGAAAATGATGATTCACCGTGACTGACTGTTACATCGTCCAGTCTCCGACAACAGGTCTTTCATATCTCAGTTATCTCATCAGGCAGTTCATGTCAAGACCATTAATCACACAACCACTTGTCTCCTTTCTATTATACTGTGTGCCAGCTTTATAAGTCCTCTGGACTCAAACACCTATGATCATGTCAAATCTCATAGCAAAGGATACACCTCAGAACTTTCCACTTTTTCAGTCTTCGTTAAACACACACTTACCAGTCACTTTTAACTCATGACCTCACTGGTTGACTTAGAGTACGCAGGTGAGAGTCAACTCAGATGAAAATCCGCATAGCAGCTCCCACCAGGCGACAATTTGATGAAGTTTGGGAAATGCTCCTCACTGCACAATTTTAAATACTGCTTCAGCAGACGCATCAATATGCATTCATACTGAGAGGGTATTAGAATAAAAGCCGAGGTAAGTCAGCACTCAACCAACAATAGTTGTGGTTTAGTCTTTTTGTTAATTTTGTCGTTGAACGTTAGGACAACAACCTAAACATGTCCAGGAGTTACCCTAAGACTTCGCTAACAGTAATAACGTTTGAGTATTCATGAAAAATGTCAAAGGCACCATAGAAGATGTTTAATAATAATTGTGCATTTACTCATTGAAGGCATTGAAGTCAAATACAGAAAAGATGAAGTTTGTTGGTATGAAACTCACGAAACTTCACCATTTACAAGGGGTTTGATCGATTCAGTATTGTCTGGAGTATTCAGAGTATCGTCATTTGGCGGTTGATCCTCCGTGTTTTTGTGAATCTAGAAAGTTATAGTAACGATAGAGTAGTTACCTTCACATTTGACAAGTCTTCCGTTAACCCATTAATAATATCCCTGAATCGTATGAGAGAACGGCCTGGGATAGTTATTGCAGTTCTAGATGCAGTTCGTACTTCTGAGATACGAAGATAGGCTCCAAAGCGATTGAAAGACGAGTCGAAATACAGAGTTCGGTTGTCAAACCTTAAGGACTTGGATTCTGGCAAATTTACAGCTTCATTTAAAAATAAGTTTAATTTTGGAACGTACATTTATTTTCACTGGTTTCTGAACCATCCCACCATTTCTCGAGCATGTCGTTGATAGCGTTGTACAGGTCCAACATACCTTGTGAAGGGATAGCAAGCTGGATCCTGTTCAAGGTAGACAGCATCGTTAACCTTAGAAAATGACCCCTCTTATTCCGCTTAAGATCGAGAAAATAACGTCGATAGGGGTAGTTCACTATATGTGATTTAATCAAACTATTGGATGGCTGTGAATCCGGAGTCTTATTCTCATCTGAATTCTGGGTGCCGGAGTTTTCTTCCTCACTTGCCTTTATTTCCTCGAGTACGTCAATAAGGTCTTTAAGCTTATCTTTTATCTCCACTGCCGCTTGCAAAGTTAGCAAAATCCTGGCTTTTCGGCCGTCAGAACCAACCTAAGTGGTCAGAAGGTTTAGAAGCACAACAAACTTCAGCTATCTTCATGAAGATACCTCTTCTGTTTTTTTTAACGTCGACATAAAAACGTTTTTTCTGGACCTGCAATGCCACGCTAGCTAAGTCCTCTTCTTCCTGAATGTCACCTAATTTCGTAGCCCCAACAAAACCTGAACTTACGCCTCTGAGGTAAAGGCCCAGGCAAATACGGCATCATTGGGAAGTGTGGGTTAGGAGGCGGTCTGTACAAAAGAGGATTCATCTGAAGGAAAGAGTGTCAGATATGTGGACATTTAGTACCAAGTGGCTTACTGTCACTTTGAATTATCTTCCGATCACGCCCAGTTTGACAACAATTTCGTACAACCCGGCAGTGTGCAATTGACGTGGTAAAAGGTGAAGGGTGGAGACCTTGAACCTGAGAGTCCAATTCTCTTTGTTCAAAATTCACAGGTGGTGAGTGGAACCTGAATACCAAAATTTCAGGCTTCATACTGCAGAAAAATGGAAGTAGAAGTCCTCTAAGCTCCATTTTTTCGACACCATTTATTCAGCAGTCTTTTGATATTATTACCAACCAAGTTATTTTCCAGAATGCTAAACTTTTCATTACTGTCCGTCTGCATCACAGAACTCTAAGTGGACATCTAAGCGTGTTTGAAACATAAGAAGAAATAGGGGTGACAACGTCTGCGATAAATGAATTCTGTTGTGAACAGATCTTAACTGTAAACGAGCTAACAAAGATCTTTTTCACTCCCTCTTACGCTCTGAAATACCTCAATGGTTGGGTGCGCTTTTCGATAGAAAGTATGGTCTAATTGTGATTTAATATTTTATCTTTTTCTGTACAACAACGCAGCCAGAGTTTTGGCTTCCAATAACGGTATTCCGTCCGACCTTCATTTTCGCTGTGATAATAACCTTTTACCCCGGTACCCACTTTGGTGAAATATACTTACGCTAAAGCTATGCCACTTTTCCAGCTTTCCAGAACAATTCTGCGTATGATTTCCCAGTCCGCCTTCGTAGCAACGGTTTGTAAACGGTAAATTTGTCAAAGATAGGGCCGTCGGAAATCTTTTCAGGTCGGCATATGTTATGATACTTGCGACTAATGTTTTCATTTCGCCGGCACAGATCTTGTACAAGCTGAGAAAACTTAGCTCAGTAAGCCTTACCACAAGTGACACTGCAGTCGGAATAGATTTAAACAAGGAGACATTCTTGAAGAACTTACTAACATGTTGACGTACATCGGAAGCGAACTGACATCAGCCTTCAAAGCAGTGAACGGAGAGCTGGAAAGCGAAACCTAGTCACGGGGCATCTGTGGTTCGGAAGTCAGCAAATGGAAGCATCACTCAAACTAACTGACCAGAACAAAGGGCTAGTTTAAATAAAAACATTTTCACCTAAGTAGTGCAACCCAGTCCAGATCCCTACAGTCCATTTATAATATCTTATCGGTAAACTACAGGGAATAAATTGCAAAAGCTCCACCGAGTTAGGACGTCGAAGACGGGGTATGGACATCCACAACCTGTAACTCAAACAGTCAGTCTTCGACCCCAGTTAAATACGTGTAAACCCACCTAAATATGTGATAATGGAGACAATAGAGGTCATGAATATGGCTTCAGTGAAGTCGATTAGAGTTCAGACCATGAAAACCACTTGCGAACTTGTCGAAGAAGTGAATGGATTAGCTGCATCTGAGATCATGGCAGATAAAAGATCGAAGGTTAGGCAACATACTTCTAAACGTCGCAAGCCAGAAAACACTTTACGCTTCGCCGTGACAGCGTGGTCATCATGAGGCGTATGGAAAATACTGATCTCCACAACGACCTAAGGATAAAAACGATATGGCTCTATATAGAAATATGTACAGCGGGGTTGGATCTAGGTGATATTAGGCCAGTAGCTACCGCTAGGTTTTCACGTGAATCCCATCCAACGAATAATGCCCTGATATCTTAGGTTGACTTTTTCCAACCCAAGTGACGGCGGTGTGCTGTCAGCGTCTCATGCGCTGAGAGATAAGTGAAGACAGTAGTGGATAACGACCACTCCGAGTGAATGATTATAAATTGGCTATCATGGGGTAGTCGTTGGGCAAATTTTAGGGTGAAGAATTTGATAATGTGAGAAATACTGGAAAACTTGCTAGGACTAGAACCTTTCTGAAAGAGGCGACTTAGAATGAATCTTATAGTTTATCGTAAGCCACTTTGTAAGCAAATGCATTCGTGCTGTCCAGGAATTAAAACAGTTGTAACACCTACTTACGATATACGTAATCACAAACCATTAGCCAAAACCAAGCGTTGTAATACCAATGCACGAGGCAATTTCTTCCTCAATAAGTTCTCTCACATCTGGAACAGACTTCCTGGGGAGATACACACTGCAGTTTCATTGTCTTTCGCTCCTCACTTGATAAGCTCCTCTTAGATGGTGAGTCTAACACTCGTTTGGTAACTATATATAGGTTATGGGCCAATCAAAACATACTAGGACCCCTAAACGTGTAAATTAAGGTTATCACCAATCCCAAGTACCCTTCCTTAATGGACCCTAACATTATTGCACGAGGCGTTTGACTGCTATTCCACTAGCTTAGGTTGTGTAGTCAGTAAACTACACGTTAGTAAAGTATATGTCACCTCGATGTAAAGTTAGTTTTACCCATACGTCTACAAATAAACACGGTATATCCAAAAAGTTGTACGAATTTTATGTGGCAAAATCATAAGTGTCATTTTTATATACATAAACTAAGGTGTACCCATAGGTCGAGTGCCTCTAAGAAGATAGGAACTTTGCTGTTCCCGATTTCGTCTCGTGTGGCATACCACTCTCCGGTTTCTGCTCGTGCTCTCTCTCTTTTTTGCTTCTCTTTTCAGCTGAAGTTCGAAGAGAATATCCTCAGCATAATCTAAACTGAAATTGTCAACCTACTGAATATACTACTTACTGCTTGACACCAGAAATTGTTGAAAGAATCCTTCAACTGGTCTTCCCCTACTGATTTTCAACTTTCTGAAATGTTCCACATCAAACTCGCCCACTCACCAACATCCTAGATGCAACCATGTATGAAAACCCAACCACAATAGATGATCTAAGGCCTCTGGACAGTCATGATGGCAGCTAAAATCTGAACAAACAACTAAGTCTGAGAAATAAACTCACCTAGTGACTCAAAGTGAGACGCGTTCGCAAACGAACTTCTCCAGTACTTCCCTTCATTTGACTCCGTTTCATAGAAGATAATTAAAAGTCAACAAACCCCCCCCCTGACAGTGTTGTATGCTTCAATGTGAATTCTATGTGCAAAACTCCATCACCATTGGATTATAGTCCTTCAAATGTTTATTTCTTTGTAAGAGAACAACTAATTCTGATGGATTACATCTGTATTGCTGAGTAAGGTCACACTACGAGTGGTAAATGCAAGGACTTGTGTACACACGTGGATTATGTGGTTATGCCATGCCATCTAGGCCACACAAACGTCGAATACTGTACGTTTTTGGTATCGCTTTATTGTGAAAAAAGAATGGTGGATGGAGACAACCGAAACTCATCAACAATCTGAATGTACTGTGAGGTGATATTTTTCTGTTCTTTTTATAACCTGCAGTCACTTTTGATATCGTGATAAACCCTGATGCGATACCTTCCGTATCATTCAGGACAGCTCAATTACTGGACATTTCTTTACCATTATGATGCCTGGAAACTGGCTTCTCCCAAGTTAGACTTTTTATCCGAGAATAAAATGTTAACTAATTTATTTATATTAGTGGGGAGGTGTGCTCATGTTTCCAACAGTGGCAGTGGCTGGCAGCAAGGACAGAATTAGATAGGAAGGTGGAGGGAGTAGTCCGCAGACTCCTACTTCCCCTACATCTGACAACGGTGGTATCACATAGGTTGGTGTCTGTTAACTAAGGATGCCCACAGCTTCCAACCAGAATACTACGAACATAGTTGTGCACAGCATCGGCGAGAACGTTCACCGTTGAGAAAGCAGGCCCAGAACACTCCTACAACAACAAATGATGGTCCGCCTTCATGCCGGGACCACAGTTACTGTGAATATGCAAGATGACGTCCAAACCAACTCAGGCTGTACAACGTCTCCATAAACCACTGCGGAGAAAAACATGGCCACACCAATTCAACAGGAGTTGGCTGGTCAGGGAAAATTTCTCCCACTGCACTCGACTCTACAGCGTGCCAACAGATATCCATGATTTGGGAAGCACCTACAAATGTCTCTGCAGTTTTGCGCAGGGTTCTAGAAGTAAGGTGGCGTAACAACCTACCTCACTGTGACAGGAACTCGGTCGTCATTGGATATTAACGACTTCGAAGCTAGTATAGACGACATGCCTCCGTTTAGGGGAGACAGGGAACACTATGGGAGAGATGAAATGGCAGTGTTTACCAGTGGCCGTCTCAAGTGTAAACAGGCTACTCTGACTCCACTGTTAGGGCTCCCAGACTCCACCCGGTGCCACTTCACAGTTGGACACACTAAGTTTCTTGTAGGGGGTCTGAAGACCCTTGCCAGCAAGGGCGAAACGGAACTGACAACTGCTTCGGGTAATATCCGAAGTGGAGACTATGGGATACGACTGGGTAGTCACAGCGGTGTATTTTACTGCCCGTACTCTCAATCTTGTGTGGGAAGAGGAAACTGTCATTCGGACGTTCTACCGAAACCTACTTAAAATCATCAAGTGTTGAGCTACACCAGAATATTGGAGGTGACACTCGCTGGGGGTCGAGCGGAGTACCATCCTGACTGGACTGCCTTCGTACTAACGACTGTCTAACAGCAGCGGACGCTCAGGTTCAAACCCCTCAGTAGCAGTGATCATTGTGTGGAAGTATTTGATCTGGTATTTAGTGAGGGAGGGATCTTGCCTTGGTCTTTGCTGCGGCAAGGCGAACCACGTTGCAATGTACTGCCGTCTGTCGCTCGCGCTGTGGCCCCAGGAACGGAGTACTTCATCGATTGATCAACGCAGGGAACTAGCGAGAGACGTCATTCAGATGACCATTTCTGAAAACGTCATAGTGGCCTTAACAGTGGCGACAAAGCGAACCTCGGAGCTGAAACAAGACTATTAGCACCTTTTGGAGGTCATGAAGAAATATGGGGGATCGTCAGAAAAGAGCCAGATTAAAGCCCACGTATAGCTTTAGGGAATCAGTGCAACATAATAGCGAGGGAGGACAGGGAGATGGTTCATACAAACCTTGCCCAGAAGCTCAAAGTGAACCCAAAAAACCTGCATGGATTCACGGCAGAGAAAATTTACCAGTCATTGAGCTAGAGTTATGAAAGACCGAAACGTAGGGGACCTATTTAGGCTGGAGATTTCCGAAACCCTTTGTGCCACCTTTGACTGGCGGCTAGGCATTCCACCATCCAACCAAAATTACAGACTACCCGAGCAACCTCCAGTACTAACTAGTGCAGCAGATTTGCGTGGAATAAAGGTAATCCCTGCT